TTCACAGGTATCAGTATATATAGTTAGTCAGGGTGAGAATCTTTCCAATTAACTGCTAGATTCAAAAATCTTCTGGAGATTCTCAAGATCATTGCCTTGCCCATCTTCTATATATAACTGTATGGCTTGACATTGTCATGTTTCCTAACTCTTCTCCTTTCCCTCTCTTGATTAGTTGGTCCTTGAATTCCTGCTTTTCTTTTACTTGTATTATATCTTTCTATTTGTATTTCTTCTTTTGAGTTCTTATACTAGGGAGACTATATGATATTTACACATGTGTGTCTGGTTTATTTCACTTACGAGTATATGTTCAAGTGGCATCCACTTCAATATAAAGGCTTCAAGTTTATCATTCTTTATTTATTTTTTTGTCCTTCAAGTTTTTATTGAAGTGCAATGATCCAGGATGAATTTTAGATCTTGTTAAAAGCGGCCACATCCATGGACTGCACATAGTCCTTTATGTCTCATTTTAAAACAATAAAATTAGGGCTGGAGATCTAGCTTTCTAGTAGAGCAAGCCCAGTGCCCTAGGGTCCATTGCAGTCACCACAAATAATGAGAATAAAATAATGTTTTCCCATAATTCATAACTTATACTTTTCATTCAATATAGTTTGGATTTTTTTCCAAGACCAAATATATAAACCTAATCTTCCTGAAGGAGTTAAAGACTTCATTTTGCCCTCATCCACATACACCCATGCTTACAGCAGCACAATTCATGATAGCTAAATCTTGGAAACAGCCTATTTGTCCATCAGCTGATAAACAGATAAAGAAAATGTGGGTTTTTTATGCACAGTGGAGTACTACTCTGCCATCCAGAAGCATAAACTTGAGGCATCTGTAGGAAAATCAATTCACCTTAAGACCATAGTGCCAAGCGAAATAAACCAAACCCACAAGCTTCAATATCACTCAGTCTTTTTTTATATGAGAAATCCAAAGTATAAATAAAAAGTAGAACAAAAGATGGCTAATAGGAAATAAGGAGTTAAGGGGCCAGCCAATAGCTCAGCGGACTAAAGTGCTTGCTTAGGCAGATCAGATGCAGCAGCCAGGTTCGATTCCCAGTGTGCGGTGCCAGCCCTGCCCCTGGGGCACATTGAGAGGGCAACTGAGACAGGGCGTGGTGGCCCTTGCCTGTAATCCCAGCTCTTGGGAGGCTGAACACAGGCAGATCACTATGTGTCCGATCTATGTAGTGAGACCCTGTAGACCCTGTACTAAAATAAATATATAAATAAATAAATAAATAAATAGGAAATAGACAGTTAGATCTTTCTCAAAGCGGAAGGGGATCTAGAGCTGAAGAAAGGAGAAGAAAAAGGGATAAAAAGGAATTTAGATGTGTTACACAGTCATACCTCCTCCACACAAGGAATATAAACATTCCCACTGCAAACACATACTAAGAAGAAAACAATTACATGTAAGAAAAATGTATAGATATATCCTGGTGTTATTAAGATGCTATAATCTATATAGCTTCACTTTTTCTCTATTTCAACTATAAGTACTTATTTCTATTTCAAACAGACACATCGATGTACATCTGTGAGACGTGTGATAGGAAAGAAAATGCAAAACTTCTCAATGAAAGGAATATGCGGTTTTTTCTCTTTTAACTCGAATGACCAAACCGCCTCTCCCAAAGTTATCCCTTCCCTGTTCTTCGCATGTGCTCTGTTCCCACCACCAGTGACCGGCTTTCAAGGGTGGCCAACACCCCACCAGCCCACGGGCTTCCAGCGCTGCTGAGTCTTTGTGTAAAGACTCACGTTCCTGATTTTGCACAAACAAGAGAAAGAGTGTTCACACACTGACCAGCTCTGCACGCCTTGCTAAATTCTTCAGAAAGACCAGCAGCCTCACAACTGAGCCTATGAGCTGAGCTACAGGACACAGACACCTGCCTGCCTATCTTTGATGGGAATCTCATATTGGTCAGGCAATTCATTTAAAATAAACAAACAAAAAAAGCAGCTGTGTAAGCATATCTGAAATTGCTATCATTTATCAGTTGGTCAGAATAGCTCTGTAAATATTTCATAGGTGTACAGTGAAGCCTCTTAAGGTGCCAGAATTCATTTTAGAAAATTAGTGCAATGCTTTATTTATTTGATATTTACTATCATAGAATGGTTAATATTCTACAAGTTATATTCATTTAGATCATTTTTTCATATGTACTGTACAAAAAGCAAATCACATCTTGTTATATGCCAACTGCATAGTCTCAGTAAGAGAAATCCAGAATTACTACAAATAAATTAGTGACTCTTTTTAATAAAAAAATATAAAATGCATGACATACTCAGAGCAGTCAAAAGATTCCAAACTTTATTCAGATGGTCCCCAACTGTTCAGTGCACAATTTTTCAACTTCATGGTGATACAAAAACAATAAACATTAAATAATAGCTTTATTTCAAATTTTAAATGTTGGCCTGTCCCTCTGCCACCATAGTCCCTTCCTATGCTGGGCAGTGGCAGTGCAGTCACAGCTACTTGTCAGCCAATGAATTATTCAATGCTTTGTTATGAAACACTGTTTTATCCAGTTTTGCCCGGATGTAGTCTAATGTACGGGTGTTAAGCACATGTTAAGGTAGGCTGGGCTAAGCCACGATGATTAGTAGACTAAGTGCATGAAGTTCAAGATAAATTCATCTTGAATTTAATGCCATTTTCAACTCACACTGGACTTATCATACATAACCCCATGATAAGTCAAGGAGTATCTGTATTTAATTTTCTTTTTAAAAAATATTTTTTATTTTATGGAAAAATGGTAAAACAAAGTTTCATAACAAGTTGTGATCTTTAAAGTAGTTGTTTGGGGTGCAAGATATAAAGATTTTTCTGATTGTTATTAGTACAAACCTTCTTTCTTAATGAACAGAAAACTAACAATA